GATTCCATTCACCACTTGGCCTTTGCTGCTTGGGATTTGTCCTGGAAGCTGGCTCCTCATTCCCCCCAGTTCTGGAGTGCAGGCTTCTCAGGCATCCCCAGTGGTCGGAAAGTGACATTGCATGATCCCACTATTTTCTGATTGCTTGGCAATTTTATAATTACTGAAAACCCTTTTCAAAAAAAAAAAAAATGCTGGATGTTGGTGACACGCCTCTTTAATCCCAGCACTAGGGAAGCAGAGGCAGGAGGATCTCTGTGAGTTGGAAGCCAGCCTTGTCTACAAAGTGAGTTCCAGGAAAGTCAGGGCTACACAGAGAAACCTTGTTTCGAAAAAAAAAAAAAAAAAAAAACCAGCAAAAAACCCTTTATTATTAAACATACGTCTTAGGTATTTTTATTGCTGTGCAGAGACGCCATGACCACAACTCTTTTTTTTGTTTTGTTTTGTTTTGACCACAACTCTTATAAAGAAAACATTTAATTGAGGGTGGCTGGCTTACAGTTTCAGAGGTCCAGTTATCATCATGGTGGGGAGCATGGCGGCATACAGGCAGACATGGTGCTGGAGCTGAGAGTGCTGCATCTTGACTCAGAGAACAGAAAGTCAGCTGACTGTCACACTGAGTGACGCTTGAGCAAAAGAGACCTCATAGTCCGCCCTCACAGTGACACACTGCCTCCAACAAGGCCATGCCTCCTAATAGTGCCACTCCCCTTTGGGGGTCATTTCTTGCAAACCACCACTTTTTTTTTTTTAATTCACATATGAGATATGATGTTGCATGTGTTTGGTCTAAGCACTTTGGAGGGAGAAGCAGGTGGATTTCTATGATTTGGAGGCCTACATAGTTCCAGGACAGCCAGGGCTACATGAACCTTGTCTCAAAATAATTAATAATAGCAGTAGGAGTAAAGTGAAGATGCCTGCTGCTAAGCCTGGATTTGATGCCCAGAACCCACACGGTCAAAGAAGAGTGTTGTGGGAAATTCACCAGATAGCTCAGACAGGGATTTAAGCCAATAGGAAGTCTTTATTAGCCAGCCAGTGTTCAGCATTGGATGTTCAGGATCCCAGTGGTAGCAATGAGCTTTTAAGAACAAAAACCATGTCCTGGGTTGACATGTTTCAGTTAACAAGAAGAGTTAGCGAGAAGCAGAACTCCAGAAGCCAGAAAGCAAGGTCTGCACCTTTAGAGACTTTCCCAGAACTGTTGTCTTTGACGGATTAGGCCTTTGTTTCATTTTTCCATCGTGGTGCTGTCTGTGTGCTGATTTTACAGCCTGAATGGCACTTCCATCATGGAGTCAGTTATGCTCTAAGCTGGAGCAAACTAAGGTCTGGGGCCCTGCTACAGATATAATCAGCTCCTCTAAGTTGTCCTCTGACCTCCATAAACACAACATGCATACATGCACCAACACAAAATGAAAGCAATTTTTAAAAAAATAAGATTTAGTTTCTTCAATTATGTGTTGTTGGGGCTGGAGAGATGACTTAGTAAGATCACTTACTGCTCTTCCAAAAGACTCAAGTTCAGTACACAGCATCCATGTCAAGTTGCTTGCTCATGACTTTAACTCCAGCTCCAGGGATCAAAGGCTTCTGACCTCCAAGGGTACCTATACTTGTGCACATACACATAATATAAAAATTTTAAAGCATTCATTATTGATGGCTGAACGACACACGCATGTAATCCCTACACTTGGGAGACTGAGGCAAGAGAAATCTGAGGTTAGCTTAGCCTAGGCAAGACCTTGTCTAATAAACAAGTAGAACCGGGTGGAACGGTGCACACCTTTAATCCCTTGGGAGGTAGAGGTAGATTTCTGCTACAAAGCGAGTTCCAGAACAGTCAGGGCTGTCCATAGAAATCCTGTCTCTAAAAGCCAAATATATATATATATATATATATATATATATTTTTTTTTTTCTTTCAAATATGCAGGTATCGGAGCCCAGCCCAGCCCCAACTGCACAGAACAGCCTCTCTCCTTCAACATGCTGGGAGTTTTTGTATCCTCAGAGCCAAGAGGCGGGCGACTCCCAGGGGGCGGGACGGAGTTCTTCCTGCCGCTCTCCCTCTCTAGCTAGTCCGGCTCGCTTCCGGAAGACGTTCTGTCCAGCGGCGAGCCGTCTCGCCGGCTCCCTTCCGCTTCCGGTGTCCTACAGCCATGGCCGCCGCCGTTGCTGCTGCCGGCGCCGGGGAGCCTCTGTCCCCAGACGAATTGCTCCCGAAAGCCGAGGCGGAGAAGGCCGAGGAGGAGCTGGAAGAAGACGACGATGACGAGGTGCCGGGGTCTGCGGGGAGCGGGGCGGGAGCGGGCCATCGGAGCTTGGGCACCGCGAGCCGGGAGGGCGGCTGATCCGCGCGGCAGGGAAGGGCCAGGCCCAGGGCTCGGCGACTCCGGTGCTGTTGCCGCTTCGCCAACGACCCTCACCTCCTCCACCACAGCTAGATGAGACCCTGTCGGAGAGACTTTGGGGTCTGACGGAGATGTTTCCGGAGAGGGTCCGGTCCGCCGCCGGAGCCACCTTTGATCTCTCGCTCTTCGTGGCTCAGAAGATGTACAGGTAAGGAACGAATGTAGAGACACCGAGAGTGTGCATGGAGGGACTGGTGCCGTCAGGACACCGGGCCTCGGAAGCTACAGGCGGGAGCTTGAGTGACCTTGGATTCATTGCAACACTCCGAGTGTGGTTCGCCTTCAGAGTGGAGTTCTTATCTGGCAGGACCGTTGTGGGAATTCTTTCGTGTTAACCAAGGGTTCTATATGCGAGACTTATAAGAACGTTACAGTAATCACTAGGTAACCACTGCTCCTCTTGGCTCTGCTAGGAGTTCGGTGGAGGGAATGGGTAGGGACACTTGGAGAAACATCGGGGGAGGTACGTCACCACACACACCTCCCTCTGCAGATTTTCCAGGGCAGCTTTGTGGATTGGGACCACCTCCTTTATGATCCTGGTTCTTCCTGTTGTCTTTGAGACAGAAAAGTTACAAATGGAGCAACAGCAGCAGCTGCAGCAGCGGCAGGTGAGCACACGCTCTGGGCTCCGGGCCAGCGATGCAGGCCCGAGGTCTGGATTGTTTAACCTACTGAAACTATAGTGTCTTAACACACTTTTTTCTTTTCCAGATACTTTTGGGGCCTAACACAGGGCTGTCAGGAGGAATGCCAGGGGCTCTACCTCCACTTCCTGGAAAGATCTAGATTATTACTTCAGAATTTGTCCGGGTGGGAGGACTTTGAAATTGAGTTGTGTTTGAACTGCTGATTGTTTGGACTTATTTTTTTTAAACTTTGGCGCATCAATCTATTTAATCTGGTGGGCACTCCCCGTTTCTCATGGAGACTCCAGTTGCACCTGTGCCCTTCATCATGCTCTCTCTCACTTATTTCCCGGTCTGACGCTAGAGCACAGCCCTGTGGAAGGTGATTCCACGTTATCCCTTTAGTAAACCGCTCCTGTCGAAGTGCCCCTTGTGGGGAAGAAGCAAGCACCCCGACCCTTAAAGACACTTTCTTTAGAAGAATGGGAATGTCTGGGGCATGTAAGCAGTGTGAAACGGACAAGATCCATTATAGCTGCCATTACAAAACGGTCAACAGGAATCCCTGTATGGTGGAGAGAAGGGAGGCTGGCTGTAGCTTTAGCCAGATGGGGACTGTGGTCTGGGCAGGCGCTCCTCCCTCTGCACAATTGGACCTGTGTGCTGTGTAAAAAAGAAGTCAGTGCTCACTTTTTGTATTTAAATATTAAAAGAACTCCAACTGAAAGTGTTATTGCTGTGTTTGTGTTACGTATTTTAAACTGAGGCCATTTTAGAACGCCAGGGACAGCAGGCAGTAGTGGCACGTGCCTTTAATTCCAGCATCGCTCGGCTGTTTTTTTTTTTTTTTTTTTTTAAGTGAGCCTCTGGTAAATGGATCCTACTATTGTCCTATCTTTGAACCTTGAAGTTTTCCCACTCAGTGTTGGTCTTTTCTCTTAAAACATGGTCTATATGGACCAGGTTGGCTCAGGATTGCCTGCCTGCCTCTGCCTCGAGTGCTGGGATCAAACTTGTGCGACACCACACCCAGTGTGATAATTTATTGTGCAGGTTTTCTGATCCTATTTTGTAATTCCCAGTGGCACTGTATGATTGAGGAGGATGTACTATTCCCATGGGTTAAGGAACCAGTAGAAGGCCTGTCACTACAGGATCTGGATTCAAAGCCAGCCTTCTACCTAGACCACTGTTATACTGTTGTGTGCTCTCGAGGCCAACAGCTCCGCTGTGTCTGGCTTTTCACTTGATAATTAGAGAAACACTAATAGACAGTCAAAAGGTAAACTCCAACAGAAGTCTCATTTTAAAATTCCAGTAAAAGCTGGGCGGTGGTGGCGCACGCCTTTAATCCCAGCACTTGGGAGGCAGAGGCAGGCGGATATCTGTGAGTTCGAGACCAGCCTGGTCTACAAGAGCTAGTTCCAGGACTCCAGGACAGGCTCCAAAACCACAAAGAAACCCTGTCTCGAAAAACCAAATAAAATAAAGTAAAATAAAATTACAGTAAAATGCAAATGCCTCAGGGTATTTTTTGTTTGTTTTAAACTTTATGTGAATTGGTGTGAAGGTATCAGATCTCCTGGAACTGGGGTTACAGACAGATGTAAACTGCCATGTGGGTGCTGGGAATTGAACCCTGGTCTTCTGGAGGAACAAGCACGTGTCCTCCGTTCCATCATCTTCCCAGCCCCCCCCCCCTTTTTTTTGAGGCAGGCTATGGCTAGCTGGATTCCATACTGACCTCAAACACATGATGTTGCTTCAGCGTCCCCTCTGGTAGGACAACGGTGGTTGGGCACCTCTGAACTAAATCCCACTAAGTAAATACTTTGTCTTGGCTTTTCAGGTAGGAAATTTGACAGTGTATCTCAGAGTGGTAACAAATCCCTTTATGTCAGAATCATACCAAAGGTTTTTACATAGTTAGGCAACAAATGTGTTCAGTTTTTCATTTTTAATATTTGGTTAAACAAAATACATCTTTGTAAACAAACCCAGCACAAGGCCAACAAAAAAAAAAGGGAATAAAGCAAGAAGAACAAAGCCTAGGGCTGCCCCTTGCTGGGCATCAAGGTCAGGCTCCCCTTCCTTAAAAGGAATGGGGCTTTTTGCCCTTGGGCATCAACATGGGTCCCTGTTCCTAAGCACCAGATTGGATATGAACAGACCAGCCCTGAAATGCTTAAGCGTCTTTGTACATTCCACTTGGCTCATGGATTCCGCGTGCATGGGACTCCTTTCCAGTGCTGTTTGCACAGGCCCAAGCAGATCTGTAGGGAGGAGTCTCCTCTTCCCAAGAAATGGCTTACTACCACCGACAGTGCCAATGGACCCAAGGTCCTGCTTGTGCCTGATCAGCAAGGTCGGCTGTAACTTCTGGCTGGTAGTGATTGGAATGTCATTGTGCAGGGTCAGAGCTCCCCATGGTGCCAAGCAGATCCGGTGTAGAAAATGGTACAGATGACCGTGGTTGAGTTGCAGTAGCCACTTGGGGCCCTCTGCTGCTCGAATAAAAAACGGCCTTGTTGGATTGAAGATGCATGTGCAGAGAAGTGCTGGTGTAAACATGCACTCCAGTCAGTGGGGAGACAGCCCCCGCTTCACCCCAGTAAGCTTGCTCAGGATCGACAGTGGGACAGCTCTCAGACCTGCGGAGACCAGGACTCCCTAAGGACTGGCCAGGTCACCTGCCTGCCCACCTGCCTTGAAGGCCACCACAACCACACTGGTGTGTGGTATGGTAATTACTTATTTTCTAAAATTACAGGAGAAAAATGGTCTAGAATTACTTGAGGTGGGGGTGAGCCAACCCTCAGTTTGTAATGGAAACTATACAAAGATGCCAAACTCAGAGCCTCTAGCTTCGTGCATAATAACCTGCAACTCTGGAGCCCAGGATGTGCCTGCCAGTTCTCACTCTCAGACTGCGAGGCTCATTTTCATGGCAGTTTCCTCACCCAACTCTGTCCCTATGAAATTTGGTGTCAATGGCAGATGTGTTTCTGATTTTGTTAAAATGAGCCAACTAGGAGTACTGTCCCTCTTCATTGTCCTTTGCCCCAGAGCCTCCTATGTCAATGTAGTGAAATGTTGGGACATAATTTGAGTGAAAAGCTACCCATGACTGTCCTAATGTGGCTTCAGCCACACAACATTAGGCATCTTTCACCATTGTCTTGCTGGAATACTGTGCAATTTACCCACTTTGGAATATCAGAACTTCTCATTATAAAACTCCAAGGCTGGCTAGGATTTTAAATGGGGTAGGAAGTGGCATTATGGATTGCAGACGGCATGTAGTGCCACCGCTGGGGGCCTGACAGTTTCCTGAGACGCTTATGCTTGGGTCCTTTGAACTAGTCACTGGGCTGTGCATGTACTGTGTCCTTGGACCCCCTGGTGCCACAGGAGAGAAAAAGAGGAAGTGTGTGTTCCCTGTGAGCCTGGAGCATCAGTGACAACTACCAGCAGAACTTGTATCAAGTCCTCATAGAAAGGGGGAAGTAAGCAAGCCCCCCACCCCTCTTACCTCCCTTCTCTAAAATAGAAAAGGTGTTAAATGGCTTGCCCTAAATGTTCAGAGCTCCTACCTTCTTCCCCCAGGCACAGACAGTGCTTGGTGGCTGTGACAGTCCACACACCTGTCCTATTGCACTGTCAAATTTGAGGGGGAAACCCAATGAGATGTTTAGGGAAGTGGCTGGACAGACCCACTGTAGAGGCCACAGCACATCAAAGAGGGCTGGAGGTTGAGGCGAAGAGCAGGTCCAGCATAACTGTCACACATCTGCTCGCCAGCTTTGATGGGCTTCCACTTCTTCTGGTACCACCAGTAGGAGTTCACAGTTTTTTCCTCGCAAATGGTATTTTAGAAATTTCCTATGGAAGAGGGAATAGGCAACAAGAAACGAGATGCTAGTGAGTTGCAGATTTCAGTTGTGGGGCCGCCCATTCACTAAGATAGAGACCTCCCCATTTATCACTCATACCAATCAGTTCTGTTTGTGGCAAGGTTTCTCTCTATAGCTCTGGCTGTCCTAGAACTTGCTTTGTAGACCAAGTGGCCTCAAACTCAGGTCCACCTGCCCTCTGCCTCCTGAGTGCTAGGATTAAAGGTGTGCGCCACCACCACCACCACCTAGGCTATCCCTGTGGCAATCTTAAAACTCCAAGGGTGACTTAGAGGTTCCATGTTTGGTTACCTCTCCATTTCTATTAGAACTCCAGTCTCGGGGCTGGAGAAATGACTCAGTGGTTAAGAGCACTGACTGCTCTTCTAGAGGAGCCAGGTTCAATTCCCAACACCCATATGGCAGCTCACAACTGTCTGTAACACCAGGATCCAGCACCCTCACACAGATATACAATTTCTGCTCATTCTCAGAGATTACTACCATTAGTGTGCTGGTGTGAGTTCTAGAACACTGCATATTCTAATGGTTACTAAGTGTCAAAAAAAATAGCATAAAACCTGGGCCAGCTCAAGATAAAACACTTGCCAAGCAGGGCTGACTGACAGCCTGAAGGAGATTCCAGGAACCCCAGTGGAAGAAGACCAACCCCCTAAAAATTGTCCTCTGGCTTCCACACATGCCTAGGAGCACACACACCTACACACATATAATAATAAAAGGAAAAAGCTTCAGTTACGGGGCTGGGCGTGGTGGTGGCAAATGTCTTTACACTCAAGAGGCAAGGGCAGGCAGAAGGCAGATCTCTGAGTTCAAGACCAGTCTAGTCTGCATAAGGAGTTCCAGGACAACTGGGAATACATAGAGGGACTCTGTCTCAAAAAATAAATAAGTAAACAGAGAAATTTAACCCTGTCTGATAACTGGCAGTTATCTAAATGGAAGGTGACAGTGTCAGTCCCACCAGATCAGAAAGCTAGGATCACAGGATGGATGGAGTTCTGAGTCTTAAAGACCCTGATTCCAAGAAGGCAGGGCAAAGATCCAAGGACACAGGAATTTCATTTCCTTTGTCAGGTAATCAGATGAGCTTGACTCCCCAGCACGCCAAACTAAACGCGCAGCAGCCCAGCTGTTAGGGGTCACCTGAGCTCACTCTCGCCTCCAATCCACTCTGGAGTCTTGAGTTTGGAGTCAAGGTTGTAGTAGGCCCCTCCCACCTCACGAACGCAGATCCAGTGCTGCCTTTTAAGAGGCAACTTGAGGGGACCCCAGCACAGGCTGGAGGGTAGGTTCATGATGAATCCCATGACGTTAGCGAGAGCAATGACACCCACGTCCCTGCAGGAAAGAAAAGGTGTCAGACTCTGCAGCAGCCACTCTCCATGGTTGCCCCCATTCACTTGGGGTTGGTGCCATGGCTGGCCCTTGTCGCCAAATCAAGTTTGGTTCTCTACCTGCGCTTGTCCCACCAAACAGCTTCATAGCCTTTGGTTTGAAGTGCTGCCATGATGACATTCACATCATAGTTCCCATTTCCCAGCATGCTCTTCTTGTGGGGCGTCACCATAGTGTTTGGAGACAACCTACAAATGTAAAGGAAAAGCTTAGGCTTGCTGGTCTGCCAGCCTCCCCAGCCTAGGACCACCTGAAAAGCATTTTGCAGCATTGCCCTGGAAGCTGGTTCTCTTGGCAGAATAATCTCACAAACAAGCTAGCCTGGAGATTGCCTCCCCCTTGCAAAAACATCCAGGAAGGTTGAGACCTGTCTGGCCTTTTGAGAGGAGGGTTACAGCGAAGGAATGACCACAAGAAATGATCCACAGACCAAGCAGTGGTGGCGCACCCCTTTAATCCCAGCATTCGGGAGGCAGAGGCAGGCAGATCTCTGTGAGTTCGAGGCCAGTCTGGTCTACAAGCGCTAGTTCAGGACAATCAGGACTGTTACATATAGAAACCCTGCTTTGAAAAACAAAAAAGAACTGATGCACAGAGATGCTGGTCTCCTTTACAAATTCCTGTCAGCATAGCCTTCCTACTGATGCTATTTGTTTCATACAAACCTTAAAAGTACAAACGAAAAACAAACAACAACAACAACAAAAAAAAAAAAACACTGACAAAGCTGGGCGTGGTAGTGGTGGTGCCAGTGGCGACACACCTTTAATTCTGACACTAAGGAGGCAGAAGCAGGAAGGTCTCTGTGAGTTCAAGTCCAGCCTCATCTATTTAGTGAGTTGTAGGCCAGTTGAAACTACATAGTGAGACCTTCACTATAAAATAAAATAAAGAACTAGTAAAAGATAGGTGATATTTAAATGACAGCCAGTGATTGTTGCTCCTGCCTTTTGCAATTTAAATACTCTATTTAAGACCTGTACTTCAGTAATCATTATTACTGACTACTCAGAGGTCGACAGTAGTTGAGACAGGCAGCATAAATGTCTGAACAGGAGCCAAGTGAATGGTAATAAACTCTAATGAGGGCTATATTAAACTGGAGTATAGAGCCCATTCCAGACAGTGTGCCTGCATGTGTGTCCATGCATGTGTGCCCGTACAAAATCAACTCAGACAAACAAAATAAACTTACAGGCAGTGGCAGGTGATCTTTGGGTACGAGGCCAGCCTGATTTATAGAGTGAGTTCCAGGACAGCCAGGGCTACACAGAGAAGTCCTGTCTTGGAAACAAACAAAAAAACAAACCTTAAACCAAACAAACTCAATTGTAGTTCTGGTGGCCTACCCAGCTTTCAACTAAAGTCTCCATACTAGCTCAGGCTGGCCCTGAGGTGAGGATACTCCTGCCTCAGCTCCAAAGTGCTACCATTACAGGTATGCATCACCCCACCTATTTCAAGCCCTTTCTTTTTTATTGCTCCTTTCAGCAATTCCATTTTCCTACTGAGGCCTGTACAGAAGGCATTTCCAATCCTATCATTTTATTTTCACAGTCTTTTTGTTGTTGTTGCTTTTTTTTTTTTCGACTTGGGTTTCTCTGTAGCTTTGGAGCCTGTCCTGGAACTAGCTCTTGTGGACCAGGTTGGCCTTGAACTCACAGAGATCTGCCTGCCTCTCCAGGTGCTGGCACTAAAGGCGTGCCCCACCACCACCTGGTTTATTTTCACAGTCTTGACAAACCAGGAGATGGGGAAGACCATTTTGACTGGAAAGCCAACATATCTTTTTGTTGTTGTTGTTGTTGTTATTGTAGACAAGCCCTTGCAGTAGGTAATTCACAGAAATCTGTCTGCCTCTGCCTTCGAAGTACTGGGATTAAAGGTGTGCACCACCATACTGGGCATCACAGGGATTTATGGCTGGAGAGTTGGCTTAGTGGTTAAGGGCACTGGCTACTATATGATGGCTCATAACAACCTATAATTCCAGTACCTGGTGACCCAATGCCTTTTGGCCTCTGCTGGCACCAGGCACAAATATGGTACACAGACATCGATGTAGGTAAAACAGCCTACACATAAAATTTTTTTCCTGGCTGATGTTAGTTTTTTTCATACAATATATTTGCCATATTCTTTATTATTATTATTATGTGTACATTGTTCTGCCTGTATTTCTGCCTGCAGGCCAGAAGAGGGCACAAGACCTCATTACAGATGGTTCTGAACCCCCGTGTGGTTGCTGGGACTTGAACTCAGGACCTCTGGAAGAGCAGTCAATGTTCTTAACCTCTGAGCCATCTCTCCAGCCCTTTGATTATATTCTTTCTCTTCCCTCAACCCCTCTCAGATCCTTCTTACCTCCCTAGCCACAAAATTCATGATTTTTCTCTTAAAAAAAGAAAATCAAAACAAACTGAGGAGATAGAAAAAAAATCAATTAGACAAAATATAAATATAGTCTGTTTTGTATTGACCAACTGCTCCTGGGCATGGGGCCTACCCATGGCTGATATTCCCAGTGACAACCACTGGAGAAAACTGATATCCCCACCCTATGCATTAAAAAAATAATGAAAATTAAAGGGAAAAGGGCTCATTTGATATCTCCAGACCAAAGGCACCAGTTCCACACGCTGTAACCAAATGCCATTTCCTCTGATGACCATCACTTGCTCAATGCTAGGACTACTGCTTTAGTAAGTGCCTCATTTAATTCCCACACTGGGAGGTATGAATTCATCCTATTTAAGTAAATAATCCTGAGGTCCGAGGCTGAAAACATGGCTCTTCGGCTAGAAAGGTTTGCTCTCTTGGAGGACCTGAGTGGTTCCCAGGATCCACATTAAGCAGCTCACAGACATCAACCTCCAGCTCCCAGGGATCTGATGCCTCTTGGTCCTGCAGGTTCCTGCACTCATGGGCACACACACATACCTACACATGATGTTTTATGTGCCATTTTCTTTTAATACCTTTTCTGCTTCAAGCCCCAACCCCAATTACTCAGACTGGGCATTTAAACAATAGGCCTCAAAAAGCCAAGGCAAGTCAGCCTAAAATTAGCAGCCTCCCTCGAACAGGACTCACAACCTGGATGCTACTGTTTCCACTCAGAGCCTGACAGTAAGAGCTGGTGCAGAATAAAGTAGTTTCAGAAGCTAGCCCCAGAGGAGTTTTCTGCAATAGGGTAATTCTAGCAGGACCAGGCTGTGCAAAGAGTGGTGTTTGTTGGCTTTGTCAAAGAGCTCCTTCCCATAGGCACTCAGACCTTGGGTGTCTAGGCAGCAGAAAGCAGTCCCAATGAGGGCCATGGCTGTGGGTGGTCCTTTTTTTCCTCTCTTTTAATGTGCCCTTTCTTTTCATTTCTTTTTTTTTTTTTCTTTTTTATTTGTTTGTTTGAGACAGGGTTTCTCTGTAGCTTTAGAGCCTGTCCTGGAACTAGCTCTTGTCGACAAGGCTGGCCTCGAACTCACAGAGATATGCTTGCCTCTGCCTCCTGAGTGCTGGGATTAAAGGCGTGTACCACCACTGCCCGACATTTAATTTCTTTTCTGACAATTTTTAAATAATAAAAATAAACATTTTTTAATTCTAAAGTTAGGTAAATTTTTAAAGAACTTTTTTCTTTTCTTATAAAAGGTTTCAACAGGTGGTGGTGCACACCTTTAATCCTAGCACACAGGAGGCAGAGGCAGGTGGATCTCTGAGTTCAAGGCCAGCCTGCTTTACACAGCCGGTTCCAGAACAACCAGGACTGTTACACAGAGAAACCCTGTTTTGAACCCTCCAACTACCCCCCAAAGAAGGTCTCATGTAGCCTAGGTTAGCTTCAAAGTCCCTATGTAGCTGAGGATAACTTCAAACTCCTGATCCTCCTTCCTGCCTCCAACTCCTCCGTGCTGGGAATGCTAGGCTTGTGACACTCCACCACATGAAGTCAGGTGACTTAACTGACTTGTCCATGAACACTAACAGCTGGCAGAATTAAGCTCAAACCTGCGTTAATGAGAATCCAGTTATGTGGCTTACAGTGGAGACCCAAGAGTCAGGGTGGGATGGGAGGTGGTATCAGGTTGCTGAGCCAAAGGTCTGTTGAGTCCTGAGTCCCCAGGCTGAAACATAGAGCACTAGGACCCAGGTTCCCTCTCCTGGCAGTGGAGAAGTGGAGAGGAGACCACATGTGGGCGGTAGCAGATCCTTTCCCTCTACCCACTCTTCAGGAACCTATTGTGTGGCTTCAATCTTTCCTGGAGAGTCTCTGACCAATACAAGGAAGATGACATCACTAGAAATAAGGCTAAACCTTCAACCTCTTACAGGCTACCTCCCTGCATGCTCACGCCCAGGGCAGTGCTCTCCTCAGTCTCCCAATTCCATGCTCACTTTGGAGACTCTGAGAGGCAGCTAATATTTCAATACAGTAACACAGGATGAGCCAGCAAGTAAAGCAGGAACGAGTCCCTAGCATAGAGAAGGTTACACACCGTGCTTCAGCCCTCAATGGCTACACAGACATCGTTCTGAAGGCTGCTTTTCAGGACTGCTGTCCCAAGATCTCCTGTCTGCTCTCATCTCTTTAGAAATCTTGTTAAGATTCAGACCCTCTCCTGCTGTTCTCACATTTCCTAACCGAGGCCCCTAGTCTCACACTGAGCTTTTGAAAGCTCCCAGACTCTTCTGCTAGCCCGCAAGCTCCTCCCAAAAGGTGAGCGCAGATCTTTCTCCCACACTCACCAAGGCCTCACTTAACCCTCTTCTCCAGCCTAGTGCCTGCCTAGCCAACTCTGGGTCCCACTCTATTCAATCCGCTGCCGTCCTCTCCGGGGAGCTTGGTATACTTCAGGCATCAGACTATGTGGCCTTTAGTGGTTTATCCTATTTCTGACTACAGGCCAAATCCCACAGCTTCTTCAGACTCAACCTTACATCCTCTCTTCCACAGAATCCTTCCTGACTCTGAAAATGGAGGGAGACACAGAGGACCACACATAATCCAAATTTATCCAAACACCATCAATACTAATTTATTGAAGAATTCATTTGGCATGCATTCAAACAGTGAGTCCCTGGAATTCTTTTAATGCTATGTCTCAGCCTGGCATTGGCATCTAATAAACATGTCCAAACTGATCAACATAGGGAGCAATGACACACTACTGTTATCTAGCTGGCACTTGCACTTGGGAGGTGGAGGGCCGAGGATCGGAAGCTCAGAGTCATTTTTCTATATATAACAAGCTCCAGACCAGTCTGGGCTACATGAGATTTCCTTTAAAAAACAAATCCAAACTGATCAATATAGGAAATGCTAACAACAATTTCCATTCCATTCTACAGGGATGGGCACCCCTAATCCTCCCCCTGCCCTCCCAAAAGTCCTTTTTTTCCTTTTAAGGATAATTGACTGGGTTAGCTGCTTCATAGGCTTTATCATTTAATCCTTCTACAATCTTTCTGTAAATAAGGAAGCTGAGGTGCAAAGGTTACAGTGACTTTCACAGTCACGTGCAGGTGCCAGGTAAGTGGCACAGCAAGGACCTAGCAGCGAGGACAGCACTCAACTGCCCACGGTTACTTCCCCGCGACAGTCCATCAGCACACCACCAGAGCCTCTTGGGTACAGTGCCTGCTGCCCAGAACTGCCTTGCTGATTTCTACAGAAATCCTGGGGCTTGTAGCAAGCATCTGGTGTTTGCTACTGCAGCCAGAATTGGGTAAGATTTGAAAAGCTCTCAGGTGGGCCATAGCCCAGGTTACTACTACTGTCCTCAGTCCCCTCCAGAGTCACTACTCTGTCTGCTGTGGTGCTGATTTTGGATTTTAATGAAGAGGGAGAAGCAGGGATGGAAGGAAAGATTTAATCAACTTTTCTCTCCCTTCTTTCTTTCATCTGAATTTCCTGATATTTTTCTAAATACAACACAGCTCATAGAGTAGGGACATGTCAGCTATTCCCCTCACAAGTTTGGATGAGCTCCTCCAATCCCTAGAGGTTAATACTCAGCCCCTTAGCCAGGCAGTGGTGGCACATGACTTTAATCCCAAAACTCAGGAGGCAGAGGCAGATGGATCTCTGAGTTTGAGGCCAGCCTGGTCTATAGAGTAAATTCTATGATAGCTAGGACTACACAGAAACCCTGTCTCAAAAACCAAAACAAACAAACAAAAACCCTCAGCACTTTTCTTAGTTTCTCACCTGCTCAAACTTTTCAGTATGGCTCCTCCCATCTCTCATGACGAATGACCAGTAGAGAAACCGGAGCGCTTACCTTTTGTGACGCTCACCAGCACGCCTAACCTGGTTCCTCCTTCAACAGAATGTTTCCCTGTCACCAGGCTAGTTTCTGTCTAGTCAGATTTTAATAGCTATTCTATTTAGGGGAGGCATGCACAGCTTGCTGCAAGAACTTCTGGTCACTAAAATAATGGGAAAGAACCAAACAAAATGTTTCAGGCCTACGTATTTCCAAAGTAGTCTAACCAAAAAAAAGGAGCCCTTTGCTATTAGAGGGGCTAAAGAGATGGCTCAGTGGTTAAGAACACTGGTTGTTCTTCTAAAGACCCAGGTTTGGTTTCCAGTAGGCACATGGCTGCTGACATTCGGTTCTAGAGAATCCAACACATGTATGTGATGCAGACATTCATACAGGCAAACCCCCATACACATGAAACACAGTAAATAAAATGCATGCTACCACAAGCTGAAGTGTACAGCAGCAGAACAGCTGCTGAGTATGCATAAGGTCAAGAGGTCAGTGCTACTCTGAGAGCTCACCTCTCAGCCCTCTTTTTTAAAGTTTATGTACAGACACGGTGAAGCACACAGGTGGATATACTGGAGACACGTGCCGCTGCCTGAGGAGCTTCTCCAGGTCAAGCCCCTTCCACCTGACCCTCCCTCGCTGCTAATCAGCATTAGCTCCATTCTAAATTCTTACTCACTTCGTATCCGAGCATGAGTCATCCCATCTCCACAACTCTATTAAAACTTCACCCTGCTTTTGTGTCTCCCCCCTTTAACTGGCTAAAACTCAGCTGCCATGATGAACTCCCTCGCAGCAAACAATTCTTATCAACACTTTCCTCCCTTTTCTACCACTCAGGAGTCTCGTTTGTACACCAGCATGGATTAACCTTGCCAGTTTCTTCCCTGGGAATATCAGTTTCTTTTCTTAAGATTGTGTGTGTTTGTGCACGCGCGCGCGCATGTGTGTGCACTGGTGTTTTTGCTTGATGCATGTTTGTATGAGGGTGCCAGATCCTCTGGAACTGGAGTAACAGACAGCTGTTAACTGCCATGTGGGTGCTGGAAACTGAACTTCTCTGAAAGAGCAGCTAGTGCTCTTAACCACGGAGCCATCTCTCCAGCACCATAAATGCAAGTTTCTAAAGAGACCAACTGTTCATTTCTAAACTGCTCCACTGTCCATGGCTCTCTCTGCACCTCAGTCTCTTAGACCTGCCCCACGGACAGCCCCAAGGTGCCTTGCTCGGCTTGTTTCTGCACAATGCCTCCCAGTACCTAGCACACTGTGAGTGGTTAGTCTTCCCTCTCTTGCCTTCTTCCTTTACAGTTTCTTCTGGATTCCTCCCATACACAGGGGCGGGGGAAGGGGGTGAAGTCCCGACTTATCCACACACATAAAACTGCTCTATTATAGAACTCCTTTCCTGGAATTCTCTTGCTGGTCAGCCTGTACTGTGCTCATCAGGAACACAGAAATACCACAGTTTGCAAATGCTTCAAAAGGAGCAAGCCCTGTGGGTGCTAGCAGATATTCAGCACCTCTCACTCAGGGAGAGCTCATCTGAAAGACGCCCAGTGTTATTCACAAACACCTGATGATGCAGCCCAGACCCCCAGTCCAGCCCGCTTACTAGCTGGAAAGGAGGCTACTGAAGTTCCTGCTTCTTTAAAGAGCTTTTCCCATCTGCAGCATGCCAGGAGGAGCACTCTGGAGGCGGGCCCTGGAGCTATAAAGCTTGGGCCAAAATCTGACCTTTAGCAACTACAAACTCCATGTCCTGATTTCTTCTTCTGGAATAGGGGGAACCACAGAACCTACCTCCTAAACTGGGCACAAGGGCTCAGCTGCCTGTGCAAAGACAGCCCTCAAAACGGTGCAGTGAGAGCCGGGCGGTGATGGCACACGCCTTTAATCCCAGCACTCGGGAGGCAGAGGCAGGCGGATCTCTGTGAGTTCGAGACCAGCCTGGTCTACAGAGCTAGTTCCAGGACAGGCTCCAAAGCCACAGAGAAACCCTGTCTCGAAAAAAAAAAAAAAAAAACAACAAAAAAACAAAAACAAAAACGTGCAGTGTTGGTCTTTTAGTGGTCTCAAGATAATTAACTCCTATCAGCCCAGGAGCCAAACTCACAGAGGTCAAAATCTGTCAACCTGAGTAGAACTAACTAACCAATAATAATCTGACATTTATTACTGGTGGGTAAAACTAGGCAAACTGCATCCACTCAGTCCTGGTTCCCAGAGCACTGCTAAGGTGGCTGGGGGGGGTGGGGGTGTCAATCTAGACAGAGCACCAAGCACACTCAGGTACATACGGTGAGTCATTTCCTTCTCCCTGGCGACAGATTAGGAAACAATCCAGAGCTGCCCAGAAGGAGGCAGTTCAGAAATCTGGGTCCTCCTTTCTGTCACATGACTGGGTGGTGGAAGACACGTTCTCTTACCTCCTAGGGCTTCATTTCCCGATGCCTGAACTATACTGGCAGATAGTGGTCCTGAACCAAAAGGCACATCTGCCCGGCTAAGGCAAGGGCGTTACTCTGGTCTTTACCGGCATTGGGAAATAATGACTCTTAAGAGCACTCAGGTTTGCTCTTTTCAGAGACCTTCGGTTCCTTCAGGATAAGTGGTCCATCCACAGCTATGCTTTACAAAGCACCCCAAACAGGCTGATTCTAGCTGTAATTCCTGTGCTGCGGCTACTTCATCTCCAAGTGAGGAGTATCAAAAAGGTGGCCTGGAGTCTCAAAGGATCCTGAGCTTTCTCTGCTGGAGGGATAGACAGGCTAGCCATCAAAGCTGCTGTGGACAGCAGCCATGCTGCTGGGTCCAGCAGGACACCACAACGCTCAAGGCTGTTGGTCAAAGACTTTTCAAAAGCCAAAGCAATGAGCATAAAACTGAACTCTGACCACTTGTGGAGTGACATATTTGCTCTAAGGGGTCCGAAAGGCATCATTTTTCTTTCGGGGGGGGGGGGCAGTGCTAGGGAACACACCTAGGAACTCCTGCATACTCCATCCCTGAATTTCTCACCAGCCCCAAGGAAGAGGCGAGATCTGGAGCCAGCTCCTCTCTCAGCTCTGCTGTTCAGGAGCCACTCTGGACAAATCACTTGACCTTTCTGTCCATTTCTCTATCAGTAAAATGATGGTGAGGAGAGTCATACAAAACAATATATGAAGAGCACCCTGGCCAGCACATGGCCTCAGAAAAGCTAAGCATTGTGGGTAGACTTTCCTTGTGGTGCCCATCATGTCCCACCTTTGGTGACAGTTGACCGTGGGTGCATCTTGTATCCCCTCTAGACTGTAAAGTCCTTGGTGGCAGGGTCTGGAAGGGAGGCATTATAGCAGTGACTATCAGCAGAGATAGAAACCTGAACTCAACCCTGAGTCCATGGCTTGTCGGGTTATTTGGAGGAAATTAAGGAGCTCTGCATAGCTCTGTCTGCATTTCAAAATGGGAATAACACATGCAACATGGAGTTCCCTGACTGACCAGAGCCGTGGTAACCGCACAACTGAGGCTACTCCACAACAGACGGCCCAGAGATGGCGATTGCCAACCATTCCTGCGCTCCTTCCAATTCCAAACCCGTAGGTTTGAAGGTTTATGTCCCCGAGGCATCGCCCCACCCACACAAATTCAGAAATATCAAGAAGTGAGGATCACGATGCCAAGCAGGGGGGGTCTTACCTCTGAAAAATCTCCTGCAGCGTTTCCCGCGTGAAGGCGTTGCTGTCCTGGAAGACGTTGTTGAGGGCGTGAAGGGCACAGAGTTCTCTGCGCTGTTTCTCATGGTAGATTTGTAGGGGTGCTGCCTGGGGAAGCTCCAGGGATTCAGATTTGGCCTTGTCTCCTTTCCATGGCATGCAACTCATGTTTTTCGATTTAGGTTCCAGACAGAGCTGATAAACACCCCACTCCTTTCCGCCCCCCGGATTCAGAAGGTCTAGGTCTAGGCTTCCGTCTTCAGATTCCTGAGGTTCACCTTATTCTCTGGTGTCCATGATTTATGCTTTGTCACTGGGAGAAAAGGCTGAAATCAAAAGGGACAAAAAAAAATCCACCTCTTCTGTCTTCTCTATAGAAAAAAATAACTTTTAGATTAGTTTATTCAGCCACCACTTTCAAAGCGCAGAATTTAAAAAGAACATATAAAACGTAAGATTCCTCCCTTTCACTACCCTACCCTCCCACCCCCTTTCGGGGGGGAAAAAAAACCCACGCTTTCCTGGCTGTATTTTCCTCTCTGCAGATGCCAACTAGGCCTCAATGCAGGAGGGCAAAGCCGAATGGGTCACATCGCTCTTTTTCTTCCATTTCGTCCGTATCTCAACGCCACAGATTCCTTAGACTCGGTTGGATGGTGAAGAAAACGTCCGATGCCAACAGTTAGCGAGGGCCGGCGGGCTTGGGGTCGCGGGCCGCGCGGGGGCTTCGGGGTCAGTTCTCCATGCCCACCGGCAGGCTGGCGGACTCGGCCCAACGGAGGAGACGCTTCGCCTCTGCGCGGGCGGAGCCGCGGGAGGGCCGGGGAAGGGGAGCGGCGGCCCGAGCGCTGCCGCAGGGAGGTCCCGCCTGGCCCGCGAGGGTGCGGCCGGACGCCTGCCTCGCCCCGCGCAGCCCTGGCCCACCCGGTTGGTCGTCCCCGCCGCGACCTCCCGCTGTCACGTGAGGGAGGCGAGCACGGGCGTCCTCCCGTTGCCTGCCCCGCGGGGACCGCTCGCCGCCCCTCCGCCCCCACCGGGAGCCAGCCGGCCACCACCTGGGCCGTGCGCGGACGAGCCGGAGGCAGCGCGGGCGGGCACGCGCACCTGAGCCCGACGTCAGCGGCGCGCGCCCCAGACACGCCCCCGCGCTGACCCCGCCCGCCAACCCGGCGTCACCCCTGACGTCCGTGTGAAGCCGCCCGCGCCCGCTCTAGCCCGCGCCCGCTCTAAGGGGATCTCCCTGGGTTTGTGGTTGGGGAGCCGGGCTGCGGCGGCACGGCTGCTGTCGCGGGCAAGGTCGATGTGTAGCTTCTGCTCAGCTCCGCCCCGGCGCCGACTCCCGCCTGGACGCCGCAGGACCCTCCGCGGCGGAGTGCTTTCTGGAACGTGGATCGCGGCTGCTGCCTTGGTCCACTTATGTTCACCAGATTTCCAAACACTTTACCAACGCGGTCGGGCACAATCTTGGTTAGTGAACCCGACCGCCTCCTGTTTTCTTTGAGCGCAGAGGGCAGGAGCCTTGCCGGGAGTCATATTGCAAATGGAAACGAGAGTTCTATTTCAGATCCGTGGTGTCGTATTCATGTTCACGCCACACAAACCACTGCCCATTTGCTCTGCCACCTCTTCTTGGTTGGCTGTCACTAGGCCTTCCTTTCTGTGTTTTCATTTTTTCCTTCCTATCCTTCCTTTTAGTCTCAGTCTCTCTCTGTCTCTCTGTCTCTGTCTCTCTCTCTGTGGGTGTGGGTGTCCTCTAGCCCAGTTGACCTCGAACTCATTAAATAACCAAGAATTACTTAAAACGCCTAGTTTGCAGGGCCTGGTACTATATCAACTAGGGTTCCCTATTTTCTGAGTTTAACTGAGTACATTGTATTCAAAAGGCAGGCTATTTGAAGTTGCCTGCGGATTTAAATCGTCATTGTCTCTAGTTCCCTTTCTTTCGGATTTTTGCTTGGAAAACAACAGATTTGCACTTTTAAAGCGATGGTTTCTCCAATCCGCAAGACTATTCCAATCAACACTGTCATGCAACACATCTGAGTGATTACCACGTGGACAGGAGTCTTTTGCTTCTACCTAGACTACTTTTGAACTATCTTAAAGGTTTCTGTGAAGTGTCACCCGTCCAACAGTTACAGTGTATTCACATAGGATTTAGCTCCCAGGGGCCTGCTGTGCAGCCAGCATTGTTGTAAACACTTTACCTATCTAAACTGTCACTGAGAGTAGTATTAGGCATTTCTCTTTTCTAGGGAGCAAACTGAAGCACAAAGGTGTGATTAAGCTGTTTGAAATCACTGTATCTGTAGTGAATTAGGCGATCAGGCTGTTTGAAATCACTATATTTGTAGTGAATTGGGCATCAAGCTGTTTGAAATCACTGTATCTGTAGTGAACTAAGGGTTTGAACTTGCACTAAACTGCTTTCAGAAGGAGAACTTAACGATGGAGAGGGAATTACCTCTAAATGTCACTTTGATACTTACTCCCTTTCAATTAAAAAAGCAAGTGCTCCATATATCCTTTCTGGGCAAAATCCCATAGTGAGAAGGACATGTGTTTTCAGTCAGGTGTCAAGGTATTCAGAAATTGAACTCTTCGTCGTCATAAGATGCTACATATCAACTGAAGCAATAGAACTAATACAATTGGCACCTCTGCTCACAGCCTCAGACAGGCAGTGAGCAGCCAGCAATTGAACTCTGAATACCTGGAGATACTGTCAGAACCTTCAAATAAAGAGTTCTGGTCTACAAGACTGCCTCTTACTCCGGGTGCCACTTAGTAGTCGGAACCTCTGGACTTTCTGGTCTATCTTCTCTGTAAACATTCTCACGGCTCTTGATCCAACTCAGTCTGCTACAATGGCTCACTTAACCCCGGGATGCACTATACTTGTATGTACCCGTTTATTACAAAGGACAAGATGAAGTGCACAGAAGAGCAGTCAAAGGAGACAGACAGACAGCGAAGTATGTGATAAGGGGGCTTCCATGCCCATTCTGGGTGAAACAGCCTCAGAATCCATCTTAGAGATTGGGGGTCGATTCAGTCAGTGAATTGCTTGCAGCATAAGTGAGGACCTGAGTTTGGCTCTCCAGTGCCCATGTAAAAAGTCAGACAGGAGGATATATCCCTTGTAATCTCAGCAGAAGACGAGGCTTGAAGATCCTTGGGGTTTCCTGGGCAGCTAGTCTAGTCAAGTCATAAGATGAGAGACTTGTTTCAAAAATAAGATAACGGGCCTGGAGAGATCGTCCAGCAGTTAAGAGCACATGATGCTCTTTCAGAGTTCTCAGCACCCACATGGCTCTCACAGCCATCTGTAACTCCAGTTTCAGGGGATCCGATGCCCTCTTTTTATTTATTTATTTATTTATTTATTTATTTATTTATTTATTTTATTGAGAATAAGAAAAAAAAGTTTCTGCCTCCTCCCAGCCTCCCATTTCCCTCCCCCTCCCCCCACTCTTCTCCCCCTCCCCCGATGCCCTCTTACAGCCTCTGTGGGCAGCAGGCATGTACATGGTGCACACACATAAGCAGTCATACGCATACAATAAAATAAATTTTTTTAAGTATGGCATGATAATCCATGCCTTTAATCCCTGCACCCAGGAGAGAGAGGCAGATGGATCTCTGTGAGTTTGAGGATATATAAATGATGGAGATGGGACTGGCCAAATGGCTCATCTAGCAAAAGTGTTTGTTGTGAAAGCACAAAGACCTGAGCTTGAACACCAGAACATATGTAAAGATGGAAGAAGGGGCCAGGCAGCACTTGGGAGGCAGAGGCAGGTGGATCTCTGTGAGTTCAAGGCCAGCCTGGTCTACAGAGCTAGTTCTGGGACAATCAGGGCTACACATAGAAACCCTGTCTCAAGAGGGGAAAAAAAAAGATGGAAGGAGGGAATCAGCTCCACAAAGTTGTCTTCAGAGTACCACACGTATGCATGGCCTATGTGCCCACCACACATCACACGCACAATAATGAATACTTTTTTCAAAAAATGAAGGGGTTGGGCTGGAGAGATGGCTCAGAGGTTAAGAGCACTGGTTATTCTTCCGGAGGTCCTGAGTTCAATTCCCAGCAACCATATGGTGGCTCACAACCATCTGTAATGAGATCTGGTGCCCTCTTCTGACCTGCAGGCATATGTGCAGACATAATACTGTATACATAATAAATAAATAAAGATTTAAAAAAATGAAGGGGTTGAGGAGACACCCAGCATCATCTTCTGACCTCCACACATATAAGTACACATGTGCATGCATGGACAAGACACACACATAGCCTTCATGGATCCAGTTCTTTGGAACCCAAGTTAGCCTTTGTCCTTTAGAGGAAGATTTTTTATTTTTATTTATTTTATTTTTGAGTGTAAGTTTTTTTTTCTGAATCTATTTTGCATCCATGGGGATGAATGGTGCCACAGTATGCCAGAACTGGAGTTAGAGATGATTGTGAGCCACCCTGTGAGTACTGGGACTCACACCCCCGCCCTCAGGAAGAGCAGTCAGTGCTCTCACCACTGAACCATCTCTCCAGCCCCTGTCCGAGTTAGGGTTTTCATTGCTGTGACAAGACACCGTGACCATGGCAACTCTTTTTGTCATCTTTTTTTTTTTTATAATTTATTATTTGTATTTGATGTACATTACAGACAGTTGTGAGCTGCCATACGGGTGCTGGGAATTGAGCCCAGGTCCTCTAGAAGAGCATCCAGTGCTCTTAACCACGGAGCCATCTCTCCAACAGCAGCAGCCCCATGGCAACTCTTATAAAGGGAAACATCTAATTGGGGTGGCTCAGTTACAGTTTCAGAGGTTCAGTCCATTATCATCATGGCAGGGAGCATGGCAGCGTGCAGACGTGGTGCTGAAATAGTAGCTGAAATCCTACATCTTGCAGGCAACAGGAAGTCAGTTGAAACACTGGGCAGTATCCTGAGCATAGGAAACCTCAAAGCCTACCCCCACAGTGACACACTTCCTCCAACAAGGCCATACCCACTCCAACAAAGTCACACTTCCTAACAGTGACACTCCCTATTATTGTGATATTGTGGGCCAATTACCTTCAAACTACCACACCCTCTTTCCAGGGATTTTATGGAAGCTTTGTTACATAGGTATTATGGATGAAAAATATTGGCTATGAG